ACCAACTACACCAAACATCTGTATCCTTTTCATCATTCTTATGGTACTGTTTAAGAAAAAAATGTAGGGACAGTATTCTCATTACTTATTTTCATTAATTCATTTTATTATCATTATCATTTTTAAGAAATGCATTTCAATATGTTATCCCGATATAAAGCTTGCTCTGCGGTTTGGCCAAGAATGATAATGAGAGGAGACTCATTAGTAAATAAGTAAATGAGTTTTCGCTCTGGTGTCAGCCGGTCCTTTTATTTGATTTGACATCATGTTTCCGGTTGGTGTTTCATTAACCAGTACAACTTTTGTTGTGGTTCTTTTCAGCTGGAGATTTCCTTTACCTTTAACCTCTAGAGGCATTTCCAGTATGTGTGGGTAAGTTATTTGCACTTGTGTGAATAGTGTATCATGGATACGGTTTGAAACACTAATGCCAATTACGTGTGTAACTGCAGGAGTGTGGATTTGCATATTTGTTCAGCATGTCTGGCTTCATTCGAAAGTGCACGCGTGCATATATGTGTTCTAGACCTTTTTTCAATTTTCTAGTTTATGCGTTTGTGGGTGTGCACGCGCGCGGGTGTGTGTATTTACTTGCTAAAGTCGCCAAGTAAGACTCTTGCTGTTGATTCTTTTACATTGTATTTTGTATTCCCTGATGTCTCTAAAACCAGAAGCCTTTAAAATGTAATTTTCAAATCACGGAATTTCCCAAATACCGAGAACCACTATCGTAAACGCAAGGGGTATGACCTTACCCAACATGGTATATCTATGATACAAAAGAAGGAAACCCGTTTGCCACCAAAGAAACGCAAACTTATTCACTTTTCTAACTGGTTTCTTATCACTAGCATGTGGGAAAAATATCTATAGGCAATGAGAAAACCAATGTTGCCTCATGAGTGGAGTTTGCAAGTACTTTCATAGCCTTTCTGGTTTACAGATATTTTTCTCTGGTGTTAATTTTCATAGGACTGTATCAGAAGAGCAAGTCAATCACATAGCTAATCCATTAAACCTGTAAACTGTTAATTAAGATCCAAGTTATTGTAACAAATATACATTATATAATGGAAACAATCATGGGATTCTAGCTATTAATCCATGATGTGAGAAAAGAAGAAGGAATATAAGAAATAGATATTACGTGTGGTTGGTTTATTGTTTCTGTTACATAGTGGTTGTTTAACTAGATCATATCCGTTATTTTTCTTCGGGAATGACACCGAAGAGAGCGTTGACGGAGTCGAAGAGGGTCTCGGCCTGGTCGCAGGGGAAGGCCTCCTCGGGGTGGGCGCAGGTGAGGGACTCCTGGCTGAACACGGTCTGGTTGCCGCAGAAGAAGGAGAAGTGGGCGGTCTCGAGCACGTCGCCCAGGTCGTCAGCCACGGGCAGGCACACGTGGAACACGCGGCAGTCGCTGCTGACGTCGGCGTAATAGCCGTAGCTTCGACCGGCACAGTCGAAGGCCTGAACGGGCTCTGCGCCGAGGACGTCGAGGTAGCCGTCGGAGAAGCGGAAGGGGGAGTTGGCGGCGCCACGCACACAGAGCCAGGAGAGCTGCGAGGACCTTCATGCTGACTGAGAAGACGGAAAGAGAACGTTAAGTTAGGATCGCAGGTGATGTCCAAGTCTATATGATTTTTATATATATTTTTTTTTTCCATTTCACTGCACACATTAACACTTAAGTACACGTAGCTTCTTGAACACTAAGATTTTGAGCGTTGTCATTGACCTTCCTCTCACTTACTGGATGTTCAGTGACGGTGTCTGGAGAGGGAGTGAGTGCCCACGAAGCGCTCATGCCCCTTATATACATGCCATTCCACTTGGTATGCAGCTGAAGGTGACATGTAGTGATTTATGAATGATTTGGATTCAGGATATTATTTCCTATCACGATAACTAAGTAATCCAAGTGTACATTATACTAGTCCTAGATGCCTCAAGAAGGATTAATACTGCAAACTTATGGTATTATTGGTTGTCTGAGTACCACACAGTGTGAACAATATTTATGATAGTGAGTATGTTTTCAGATGCGGTTTCTATTTATGGGGAACCATGCTATTTTTAGATCTAATTTAATGGTATGGGAGATTCGGAAACACTAGCCTTCCTCGGTGTTTTGAGTAGAATGCTAGATTTTTAATCAAATATTTATGGAAGTTTTCTTGTTTTCTAAATATTGTGAAGATTTTTAGCAAATATTGCCGAGAGCTTATAGAAAACGAAGTAATTCTGGAATGTTTATACATAATTTTCATTTAGTTTATCTTTTCTTTTTTCTTTCTTTCTTTTCTAAGAATCCGGAAAGGTGTACTGTATGTATCTACTTATTCTTTTATGTATTCAGCACTCAGAGCATTGGACCGCTTATATCTACATATGTATACGCCTGTATATGCTGTGTATATACATGTAGCCTATATATGGATACACATGTATATACTATAGATGTAAGAAATGGTAATGGAAATATTGTGATAAAAATGATAAATTTCTGAAGTCAGAGTCTGACCTTGGGGTCTTTGTTTACATACCTCTCCGTTTTCAAGGTCCTTTAGAGAGAATCTTTCCACCTCTTTGCTTTCTCGCTTTTCTCTTTTATATTTCTAATCTCCGTGATTTCGTAATTCGTTTTATTAAAAATTATTATTATTGTTGTTGTTTAATCAGTTGTTTATGAGTTGTGAGGATTTTCTTTTTTATTTCAGTTATATAGGTATTAAAGAAAGATGAATAAATGAGTAAATGGGTGACGCTCATNGTATGCAGCTGAAGGTGACGTAGTGATTTATGAATGGTTAGGCGTTAGTATGGTTAATTCTTTCAAAGGATAATAGGCTAATCGAAGTACTAAATTATAAAACAAAACAATTATGCAGATAATGAATTTTATTTAGCTTTTCTGGGAAATCACATGAATGAGTATAGACATAAGGATTTTTATATATTCCAGTCTATATCCTACTATCGATCTGTCTATTTACTATATATCCATACATATATAACACATTTGTTATGTGGGTTGTGCGTGTATGTGCATATTCATGTGTATATATATACAACGCATCCTTATATGTATACATATATGTATGTATGTATGTATATGGTGTATATATGTTAAATATTATATTTATATATATATATTATATATATATATATATAAACATACATATATGAACATGTATATATATGTACACATGTTGTCTATATATTAATAATGTACACACATGTATATACATATATGTATTATACACTATACATATATTACATACAAGTATATTATATATATATATATATATATATATATATATTATATATACATATGTATACACATATATATATATATATATATATATATATATATATATTATATATAATATATATTACTTATATTATGTAATATGTATATAGATTGAGAGAGTAGTAGAGCTTAAGTAGTAAAGAACAAATAAATATACAAATTCATACATTAATAACACTACCAATGGTAATTATATATACCTACAATAACACTACCATTGTCAAATGTGGAAACTGCTTCAGTAACAATCGTCTTGATAATGACAGTGACAAAAATAACGCCATAAATGTCAAGAGAGCCAAGGAAAAGCGCGCCGGCCTGTCCTTGACGAAATTAATTTACATTCCACTCCTAAGAATTCCAAAAAGTCCTACGATTCTTCTTCTTCTTCTTCCTTCACTTTTTCTTTTTTCACTTTTCTTCCTCATTCATTGGACAAAGTTATTTCATATATTTATGTGCATTGTTTTTAATCTGTTTGGGGATTAGAGGTTGTTTTTTATATGTATATAAACAGAAATACACAATATGTGTCCTGAGAGCGGTTGTCGTGACGTGACCATAACCCTCTTGTGCTGAGACGAAGATGTAGACAGCATGAACATTCCATTTTCTCAAGTTCGTGACTTGTTGGCCTCGAAATTATTAATCGGCAACTGTACTGTACAGTATATACACATGGGAATGACAAACACATACATACACGCGCAGACGCAATCACACAAACACACAGACACACAGGTACAGATACAACTACTCCCACTCCCTCATAAACAAACCAACGCCTTCACCCACTGGCACGTCTGCCGCTCCCCCTGGACACCCGAAGAGCTCACGACTTGGTCCAATAAACCGCTCGGTCACGTGCTGTGGCGAACGAGGCAGTCAGTAAACAGCCGTTGTCATCAGGCATATTAAGATGCAAGCTGCCCATCTCTGCCACTGTTCAGACATGTACGGCAACGTGTCTCTCCTTCTGGGGAGGGACATGTTGCTTCTGTCTGTTGCCATGTCTCTGCCCGATGTGGCAGTGAGAGAAGAATCCCTGGCGCCTATAGCAGGTGGCGGGTCTTCTGGGACGTCTGTGAGGAGTGGCTCTGCTGTTGAGGTGTGGCTCCTGGAGAGATCCTCTCCGTCAGAGAGGCGAATGTGAGTCTGTGTGTGTGTTTCCATGTATGGATGTGTACACACACACACACACACACATACACACACAGATGTGTAATATATATATATATATATATATATATATATATATATATATATATATATATATACATATATATATATATATGCATATATGTATGTATGCATGTATCTAATAACAATGCATTGTAAGTGTGTATGTCCCTTAACGATTTCCTGTTTTCATTTTATTCATATTTCATTTCTAGAGTGAATTGTGTCTATTTTGAGTTAAATCTGTTTCACTGATCTTCAGTAAAGTCATCACGTATTTCTTCTTACTCTCTTCTCTCTTACATCTTTTACGCTCTTCATTTTATCTCATTCCTCGTGTCCACTGAAGATGTTTTGTTATGATTTGCTAGATAAGAAAATATTAAGAAATGTTAAGTTCCATTTTTATAATATTCATAGAAGTATCCCGAGCAATACACGTGTGTGTGTGTGTGTGTGTGTGTGTGTGTGTGTGCATACATATATATATATATATATATATATA